TGTTCCGGAAGGTCTGACACTTTTATATATATCTTAAATTAAAGCTAATGTAATATACTTTATTATGTAAAAAAAAAATTTCGGACTTTACTTTGTCTTCACGATGAAAATGANCTTTATTATGTAAAAAAAAAATTTCGGACTTTACTTTGTCTTCACGATGAAAATGACTACCAAATGCTATTATTTTGTGAAAATTCTCAATTTTATTTTTTACATTTTTAACTTTATAATGCTATAACTTATTGAAAAGTGTATTGATCAATACAATTTTTTTATGAGAAATAATATTTTTTAATAATCTCTTTTTCATTCGACATACTTTATCTTAATCAGGATATTAATAAGGAACTAGCAAATCATGTAGCTTTTGAAATAATCCACCAATTTTTTAAAATTAAACACTATCTAAAGATTTGCATCGAAGTGTTTTTTTTTTTGATAGTGATTTTTAATGATTTAAATAATTTTAAAATATTTTCAAAATTTCAAAAATCATATAAAAATTTAAAAGATGTGGCAGATGAAATAATTTTATATTGTACAGACAAACTTGAAAATCATTATCCAAAAGATGATTATAAATAGTTCATAGAATTAGTTTTGATATTTTTAGGAGGCATACCTTCAAATAGAATACGATTTTATCAATCTGGTGTTTACCATCTAGCGCGGTGGATGGCAAAGGCCATTTACTGCCTAAAAATTTTAATGTTTAATGTTAGGGCATGATATTTAATACTTACCATGCAGACATCACATATATGAAATTATATTGAAAAGTGTTTTTGAAGTAAAATTTAATACGTCATCTGAACCACATGTTCCTATTTTAAATAAATTCCAAAAGTCTTGGCAAAATATAAATAAAATTAATTACTTAAGTGGAATAAAAAATACTGTTATTTTAAAAAAATTAAAAACATAAAAAGACGATATTTTGAAATTTAGTTTTGAACTATAAGGAACTTTTAGAATTGGTCATAATGTTTTTTGGTGAAACACCTTTACATAGAATTTATATTAAAAATCCTAACCCAACCAAACCAACATTTTTTTTGTTTCGGGGCCAATTTGAATTGTCAATCAAAGTTAAATAATATTTGTTCAAAATGTATTTTTATTACAAGTTTATATAGTTTCTGGTTGTATATAAATTTATAAGTTAACATTATTTTAGCTTCAATGTGAAGCTGAGACTATATTAATTTTACTCTGATGTGTTTTTTTTAATTAAAATTAAAAAAATTGTAGGTTTTGAATAGTAAATAATAGAAAAAAATGTCTAATTAAAAATGTATAGAAAATTAAATTTAAAAAACGGCTAAATGAATTTTTTTTATGTTTTTACAATAAACAATTTATAAATTAACAATTTTAACAGTAAGAATAGAACATATACGTTTTTATTTTTTTAGGGCTAAATAAGAACTTTTCGAAAATTTTTGTATATATACTTTTTATAGAAAAATTTTATACCTACAAAAAAGTCCAAATAAACTTTTTCGCAAAAGCTAAAGTTTTTGAGATATACAAAAAAAATCTAAAAAATCATCCTTGTGGGGTTATTTTTAACCCCCCTGGGGCACGTCTTAGAGTTGAACAATCATCTCCAAATTTTTTACAATTTATTTTTTCATGTATTCGAATAATTCTAGGGGGTGACAATTGTAATTTTTAAATTTTATTATTAAGGGACACCCTAAGGTGCACCATGTACGGTCAGCTGATGACGATAGAATGACATATCAAACCGGTTGACTAGTGGAGGTTATCACATACACAACTATTAAAATAGTTTACACCTACTGCACACACCTATAATTGATAAGATTTATTTAAAAAAACTAGTCAAATTCTTCAACATTACAATATATTATTATGGTAAATGCAGTATTAATTAATTTGATTTTGTTATATTTAGAATGAGTTTGTTGTACCCTGAGGAATGCTTCAATGATGGCTCGGCCTGTTGGCCAAGAGTGCTGGTTCTAATGGAAAACGAATTTATTACATGTCTAATTCATTTTTATTTGTTAAATAATATTAGTCAGTAAGCAATTAATGTAGTTTTTTAATGGTAATTGCACTGATAAATTAATTTTCATTTTGTAATTTTTAGACTTGCATCTGTTGTGCCCGGACGAATACGTTGGAAATTGCTGATGGTTTAGGATTTATTAAAAGGGTAATTTATTTTATTTCATTAAACATTAATTAATTGTCATAATTTTATTTTTCTCAAAGTTGAGTTTATCTTTTTATATTTTAACCAGTTTACTTTGCATATGTTAATCATTAGGTTATTTTGTATTTCATATTCAAATTGTCAACGTGTTATTGACAATATCATAGCAGTTGTAATAATAATCAGTGCTCGAATTGGCCAAAAATAAGTAGGGGAGCTCAACTTAACAATTTTAAAACTGCGTCCTTAGCATTTTGAAGATCTTTTTTTTTTTTTTTTACTCATTACTTTATTTAGTATTTACTAATAAATCATATTTCATTATCATACTAATATTAAAAAAAAAAAGAAAGAGGTGGTATTTTCCACCGTCCTCCCGTCACAATAAAAAAAAGTAGCTGGGGTGCGCAAAAAAATTTAAAAAAAAGTAGAGGAGCTACGTCCCCCTGCGCACCCCCCCAATT